TATCTTAGGAACATATTGTATAAAGGGTTTCTGGTTTGCTGTATAAAGATATAAATGAATATAGGCCTATATACATATTTACAATTTCATCTGCTGTGTCTTGTAATTACTTACCATACATTGTAATTTAAATCTATGACGTAATGCATACAACAAATAACCAAAATCCCACAAACCAAAAACCTGTAGGTTCAAAATTGTTTTTAAACTGGTTGATTTGATATGGAACGCCCGTTAAGATATCAATAACAGTATATAATTCCGTTTAAGATAATAACAAGGACCTGGATAACTCTACCTTACTATTTACATTCCTGGAAGTTGTCCAAAATGCGCGGGCCGGAACAAATACTCCTGCGGACAGATCGTTTTCCATTGCCCTGCGACCTGCGGGGGTTTCTAGCCTTCTTGCAGGGCTAATGCAAGATGGCTGGCCTGCATTAGATATATTAATCTATTGTAATTGAGAGTGTGAGTCCCGTTTTAAAAATCCTAAATATATATTACCAGGGGGAACCTCAGCCCGACTAACGCCGTAGCAACCCCCATTTTGCCACTGTCCATTTAACGCTACTACTCGTTATTCAAATCGTATAACTGTAATTTACATGTGTTCTGAAGTTGAGATTAGATTATTATTATTATTTATCAACATAAAATAAACTGAAAGAACAAACACATTTCGGACAAATTTTTAATTTCTTTAAAAATCAATATTGCACATCCCAGCTTATTGGCAATTTGTAACCATAATATATATTCAACTTGTCAATTTCCATCTAAGCCCAACATTAATTTGTGCCTTTTATTTTTAATTTTTTTATTGTACATTATATTCTGCTTCCTTTTCTACTTCATATTAATAATTATTATTATATCACAATATAATAAAAACAATATTATATATATAATAATTATAAAGTTATTTATTGTATAAATTAATATAAAATATCAATTAAATGTTAATAAAAGTTTTATTAATTATCTTTAAAAACCAAACTGTCGTATTTTTTGTGTGATATATAAATTAGAATATGTTTGTATTTTATTTTAAATCTTTCCCTTAGATATAATTAGATGTTAAAAAAAATAAATAAAACCAAAATTGAATTTAAAAAACTAAGGTGTGTGCTTTAGACCGCAGGATAGAAGTGGAGACATCAATAACTACAAATATAAATTATAGATAATAGCTCATTAATCAGATAAAGATGATGAAATTCTGAGCATTTCCCTCGCTTACAGTATGCAGGTCCGATTTTTAGTTTTTGAGATATTTTAATCCGAATGTAAAAACAATTATTCGACTCCAGCTGACTTTATCCGAGAGTTACACATCGGAGATCTGACGACTCAATCAATGCTGTCTAGGCTATTCCCATAATAGCCATACGTAATCCCTCTTCTTTTGCATTATAGCAAGATTTTTGCTATTTGTTTCTTATTCAATTTTCCCTTTATTAGTTTCACTTCACGGGTCAAGATTGGTTTTAATAAAAACAACTGTCTCAATAATGAAGTTAGCTGAATCTAGCCTATTCCGTGATTAAAAAAAATTATTTCTTCTCCGTTTTTCTCTTTTACCACCGGTTAATTCGGAAGACCGGTAAAGCGGTGTTCTACTGTGTATATATATATATATATATATATATATACAGTAGAACACCGCTGTACATATATATATATATATATATATATATATATATATATATATATATATATATATATATATATATATATATATATATATATATATATATATATATATATATAGTAGAACACCGCTGTACATATATATATATATATATATATATATATATATATATATATATATATATATATATATATATATATATATATATAATATAACAAATTTAGTTGTGATAGTACCAAAACTATTTTTCTATGATGTACTCCCTCATTTTTTACGATTTTCAACCACTGGGCGGTGATGGGTGGATGGAAAAAATGTAGAGAGCGATTGGTGGTACCGCCATCGAGTCTTCAGATTTGTTAAGCCTTATTATTATTCCTTTAATAGTGTAATAATAGTCCCTTACATCTAATACATCCGAAATGCATTAAATCGATATTCGACCGCATTACTTAAAACCGAAATTATGTTCAAAAACTACGCCTTCGATAAGATAATAATTGACCTCCATTTCCAAAAGTTACAATAAATCGAAGTTGGATTTGTTTTCGAAAAGTTTTTCTTTTATAAGCCCATGGTCCCAAGCCAGTGTGCCGTACTGTCCTCGAGATCTGGACGGGTCGGGGATATGCCGCCCCCTCCCCCTCACGATAAGGAACCTTCCTCTGGAGGCGGCTGCTTTGTTGATAGTGGTGAAATAAATCGAGACGTCTCAAATAGCAACAACCGCTGACAGGTGTTACGTAGTCAAAGCTACAGCTCTTCCGTTTCAGCTCCTCCTGCTGCAGTCGTAGCGGATTTCCAATATCCTGTCTGACATTGGCGATCCCGGGCTCACTTGTTCCGAACGTCAGATATAGCTGGCTGTGCAAAGGAAGTCAGGTAATTCCACTTCCTCTCCATGAGCAGCCACGAGACTTCTTCTTGTTGTGAGGGAGCTTTTCGTCAACTTACACCTCCCAGTTGGTTGCACCCTAGACAGGTCTAATGTCAGACAGGCTCATGAGGTGTCCGTGGAGTCCTTCAAGAATTTTCGCAGTACCTGAAGTGTGTACTCAGCCTTCTACTGTACTATCATTATTTTCTTTTAGTTTATGAAATATATTGTTTTTCAAGTGTTTGCCTGTTCCTTCGATCAACCTGGCCACACCAACCTCCGCTCGGCTAAAGTTATCTCGAGCCGTTGTGTTCGGATCTGAACTCCCTCAACTGAAAGCGACGTAAAATGAATTTGACTTTTTTCCTTTACTTATATCTATAGAATTCAATTATGTTTATTTTTGAAATCCCGGTAGATTTTGTTCGGAGGTGCTATTTATTATTCATAAACATCGCGAGATATCACCGTGGCAACAAAAAATAGTAACATTGTCTACATTAGTCAGTAGTGCATGGGCCAGGCCACCCTCCCGTACGCCTCTCTTCTCCCAAATCCTCATAAATTGCATATCGTTCTGTTCCTTGTAACTATTTATTAAAAAAAAAAAAGTAAAAATAATATTAAAAAGTGGAATTAATTTATTGATTATTGATATTCGATTTTTTCTAAACAGTCTGGTTACTCTTCATTGCATGGGATAATAATATTCATTTCCGGAAAGTGCACCAAATTTAACTAACAGGGGCGATAAATATTCAGGACGCAGCCATTAAAAAGTTTTTATTAGTTCCGACGTTTCAACCCAAATATGTGGGTCATCATTCGTGCGTTTTTTGAGCACTAAAGGTATTCAACTACTTTGGTAGGTAAGTGACACTTAACCACTCCACCAAAAATCAGTGAATCTAGTTAAGATACGCTTAACGGAAGCACTCAATGAAGTTAGAAGCGGTTATTATTTATCCGAGAAATTCGAGGTTCGTTCCGGCTTAAAACGAGGTGATTCTCTTTCACCTGTCCTATTTAATTTGGCATTATAACATTCCATTAGAGAGGTGATACATACCAAAAAATGTTTGAAGGCTAAGTAACGAAAGAATTCATAAAAAGTTAATATGCGCTCTAAAGACTGCCAAACGTCCGAGGGGTAGACCAAAGCGAAGGTGGGAAGATTGCGTTAAGGCTGATCTGGGGGGGTTGGGTTTAGACGGAGCCCGGTGGATGGAAGAATGTAGACGTCGATTGGTGGTATCGGCATCGAACCTTCGGGCTCGCTAAGCATTATTAATATTAAATAGAAAATAGAGATATTCTAAATTCTATTTTTTTTTCTTAGCCCTGATTAGGACCTTTGGGCCAAATCGTCGGCAAAAATTGAAATAAATATACATTTATTTTTTTTTTTTTGACTGATCATCCCAACCATCCTTCTCTTCAATTATTTACTACAGCCAGCCATTAACCCACAATCCTTTGTTTTGGTTTTTGATTTTTTAAAGTGTTACTGAAGCAATGCTATTTTTTTTAGCAAGGATGAAAAAGGGAAATGTTTATGCCAATCATAGGATTCATCTTTTTATATTGTTCTTTCTGTTGATAGAAATCTAATGTTACTTTAGATGTGTAATCGTTTGGAAATAATAAACCATTGTGAAGTAATTGGCAGCGTTTTTTTATATTTTTTTAAGTTGACATAATAAGTAAAGAAAAAAATAAAATAAAAATCCTTACAACTATACGAACATATATCAAATCAATTTTAAGTACTCAATCTTATATTTGTTCTTTTAACACAATAATTATATTGAATTTTTACTCATAATAAAAACTCCCGCTGTTTTATTTTCTCGGTCCGTTCCTCTTCCCCAATCAAAATCGAAAGTCTACGTCTATGTTCAAAGTTATGTAACACTGGCTCCTACGAACAAAAGAAAAAATGAAAAAATTGTTGTTCACCTCCGAAATTCAGAAATAGCTAAAGTTAACATAGTTTGCTCAATAAATAAATGAAATACTGGAATTGTGTACCGCTCAATGAACTGTGTACCACTCAATGAATTGTGTACCGCTGATCACAGGAGGATCTACAAGGGGGGGGGAGAGAGGCTTTCCGGCTGAAGCTTCCCTCAAATGGTAAAATAAAACCAATCCTAACGAAAAATATATTGAAACATTATCTCTAAAAGTGTCATTGTTCGAGTAATTGCATTTAATGTGTCATCGAGGATCACACCAACACCATCTCACATAGGTAGTTAGTTCCCCAAAATAATTATTGTTATGTATAAAAAAAAAAAACAGCTTTCGGACTGAACCCCTCTTCCCCCCCCCCCCCCCAAAAACAAAAACAAATAATTAAATCCTGGATCGGTGAGGCGGCGGAAGGAGGACGGCACTAAAGAAGCGGTTGGTTGGTTGGGCTGGAGGCCGCCAGAGCGCTCCGCCGGCGCCACCTCCCTCTCCCCATCAGTCCGCCAGCAGCCGCCGAGCCGTGCTGTTCGCTCCTTTGTCTTCTCTGTTTGTTGTGTTGTTGTTGTTGTTGTGTTGTTGTTTGTTGTCTGTTAGCTGCAGTGCTCGCATGTTAGTGCCGCCTGCCTGCCGTGCCCGGGGTTCGAGACCCCTCAAAGGAATGCCAGTTCTCTCTGCGAGGGTCTTGGACAGATAGTCTGCCAGCAAACATCATGAGGAGGATCACAGGTAAGGAGCGACATGTTTCTCCACCGAGGTGGCTTTATATGCTTCTTTAGATAGAAGTCATCGATTGAATAGGGCCACTATCATCGTTTACAGGTCGAGGATCTTCAATTATTGATGCTACCAGCCGGTATAGATAATAATATAGACAGTCAACGGTTATAATGAGCATTTCAAGTTCTATTAATTTCACTTTATTTAATCCCTTGCAAGTGAACGGGTTTACAATACTGTACCTTAAAGGTGCCCTTAGATTTCGAAACATTTCTTGTTACCTGCCCATCCGAAGGTATTCCTAACACCGTGGGAGTAACACCTACGTGGCTTTGAGAAGGGTCTTGAGGGACGAAAACAATATATATTTACCAGGCTCTTATATTAAGTCCCACCTTCTATCTTTCAATTCAGTAACCATTTTAAATATTTCTAAAAGATTCCAATTATTTCTTTGAAGTCGATAACTAGATGTGGTTGCAGATAGGATGCATCGTTATCCCCTCCACGTAGCTATTGGCCATGCTAGGCAATTTGTATTGGGAAATAATTTAACGCATTTCATTTTGCAATCGTTTCAATAATAAATTTACCCTTCTTCTGATTGTAGAGTAATTTCGCAACTACATTGACTAATTGTTAAATTTAATTTTACTTATAGGATACAAACTTATTTTTCCATAATTATAAATGTAACACAATTAAAAACTTATTGTCTTCATCCAAACCTAAACTTATCCAAACCTAACATACAGTTCATAATTACTTAATAGGAGACCTTGGCTGGATATCTAGCCAGGCATTCTTTTTTAAGAATGAAGTAACGTATGAAATATTATTTTATTTTCAAGATATTAAAATACAGAAAAAGTTTCTTTATTTTATATTTTGAATACACAATATGGGTTACCGAATTGAGTACATTCAAAGCAATATTAAAAAAGTATTGGGGCTAGGCTACAAATTATTTGTAATACAATTACCTTTGGCCATAAAATCGATTGGCTTTAAAAACATTATTAAAATATACAGAGTTTTATCTCAGAAAAAGTTAGAAAAGCTTATGTTGTTTGTTAAATACAATAAATAAGTAAATATGGTACGACAGATGTTTAGTTTGGATAAAACATCACTAATTATTTTTTAAAATAATATTTATTAAGTTCTTATTAGTAAAGAAGAAAATAATGATTCGTATTGCATAAATTACTTTTCACAATATTTTAAAAGAAATAATCTAGATTAAATATTATTTGTAATTTATTCCCAATTAATCATTTTTTTACTCATCTCGTACCAATTTCCTCGCTACAATAAACCTATTTTTTAAGTAATTAATTGTGTAGCACAACTTCATGAAACGTATGTATTTTTTATTTGTTTTTTTTTAAAATTAAAATACAAAATACTCTTGATATTTAGATTTGATTTATTTTTTATCGAAACAATTTTAAAAGTTTCTACTTAAAATACATTATATAAACAAAACACAAAAAAATTGATATTTTAAATATTGGTCTTTATAGCACAGATGATGTTAAAGATTAATTCAGACCCTCTCTTCTGATAAATTAAGACGTACGGACTGTTTGTCTATAGTTTTATAAATATTTACAGATTTACAGGGTCACTCGTACACAGTAAAAAGAAATATGGCTACAACTGATAGGACCTTGAATAGGGGAAGGACGAAAAAAAAAAAAAAAAAAAAAAAAAATAGGTGCTGGCTGAGAGAGCTCTTCCATAACGACGAGCCGTGGTCCTTGGCTCTTCTCCTGCCTTCCCGAACCCTCTCGTGTCGTCATTTCAACAATCTCCATTCCATGTGTTCATTGTCAGCAGTTCCTTGACAGGCCCGAATTAATGTGACTTAAAATTTTAAAAAATCCTCTTCACATTACGCTTATAATGCTTCTAAAGAACCTTAATGTAACAAAATATCATTTCTTTACTTATTTGAAAAAAATTATGTTTTTCTCCTACAGTAATTTTTTTATTACGCATGTTTTTCTCTTACTTATTTAACGTTTCGGAACTCTGCCCCACTTTCAGCAATATTCTATTTTCTATTGTTCCTAAATATTGTCCTCCACATCTTGTTTGTTTTCATTTTTCTTAAAACGTTTTACTCTATTTTATTTATTTTACAGGAGCGTTCTAACATTGCACTGTCACACTGCTACATCGTTATCGATGCAGCCAAGGCAGCTATATCTAGAAACTATGTGAACAATTCTTCCGGTACAGTCCGATTTATTCAACAAAAAGGCAACAGAATATATTAAGCGGTTAGCGAACAACTCCAGCTAGCAAATATAGAAAGTATCTGTTTTTTAGCATATCGCTACTGTTAATGGAACAGGTCCTATGTCAAAATTTATTTTATTTATTTATTTATTTTTTATGATTTATTTGTATTATTTCATATTTTATTTCTCTCTGCTATTTTCCTATTTAGCAGATTTCTTTTAGCAACTCTAGACAACAAAATGTCACCGTTATCGCAAATAGAATAAAAATGTAAAATAGTAACATGTGACCTATACTATATGTTGCCTAGTCATTTCAAATAATATTTTGTAAATAATTAGTATGAGGTAAACCTATTGTGCGCGCGCTTCAGTGTTGCTGAATTAATGCTCCTTTACGGCTCCTCTGTTACCATAACAGATATCTTATGATATTGTAACATCTCTAAATTATATTATATAACATCTCTTATATTGTAACATCTCTTATGCTTCATGTGAAAATTATTATCGTGTCTTGAATTAAAACTACTACAAATATGGACCGGATGTTGGAAATGACTATTTTACCCTCGTAGGCTGACCCAAATATTGGCCGGAAAGGAGGCAATTCCCTGGAGGACAATCGGAGAGCGAATACATTGGTATGCGTTATGTATCGAGGCATTATGTATTCGATGCAGAGGTGGATAACCGTAGGGGAGGGAATGTATTCATTTCTTCTACAGTTATATCCTCCGGGATCATCGCACTTCTTGCCATGACCTTCCTCGGCCATCTTGTCTACAACTCTTTTCTTTTTTCCTTTATCTACTGTCGGAGTCGATTCAATGTCTTCATTCCCTTCAGTCGATTTAAAACGTCCTTTAAATTTATTTTTATTTTATTTTTTTTCATTATTTGTGTTTTAAAATAATTTATTCTATATTAGTTTTTCTCATAGTAGTGCCATTATTTAATGTGTGGCATTATGTATTTTTCTAACCATGTAGCTCTTATAAAATATCACAAAACTTTTTCTTACTACTCAACTTTGAGTAGAAACTGATTTTGCTCAAATTAGTAAACAACGAAAACCATGAAAAATATGAAAATTCATATTTCTGAAGACATCTGAAAACAGTCAGCCATTTTGAAAATATAATTTAGAGAATTTTCTGAAAATTATCCATAAAAATATATATATAGAAAATAATAAAATTTAAAAAAAAAGTAATTTACTCAAATATTTTTTTTTTATCATCTTAACCTTTATATTGCCATTATTAACAACCAGGGGCGGTTGAGTGTTTCAAATAAAACAGATTAAAGTTAAATTAGAGAAAGACATTTTGAAAATTAGACATTGAACACTATTTGAATGAGGATAAAACCTGCATTCGAGAATATTGAAAAAATATGTAAAATCTTTTATCCTAAATAGACCGGTCGATTTGAAGAAAAAGATTTCTGCAATTTTCCAATCTTGAAGACGTAATTTTAATTTCGTTAGACTTTTCGTTTTCAGTTGGGCCGTTCTCATTGGCCATCCTGCTAGTCAGGGAGTGTTCAAGACGGGGGCAAGTCGGGGAACAATTTTTCAAGTAAGAGAATTTTTTAGTGCTTAAATATTTTTTTACAAATTCTAAATAAATATAGAGTGTTTATAATTAAATCTAGAAGGGGTAGATTTGTCCTTATTAATGACTACGGTCGTTATATTGAAATCAAACTAGTGTTTTTTTGAAAAGAAAAACTTACCAATATTATTTACTTTTTGTAAATAATACATAATATTGCTACTCCTTGCAAGAGCATTTATTAACCAGAACTGTCGCAGTTGATATCAAATGGATAATTATCATGCTGTTTATAGTAATAAAGAAATTATGGGTGATAAATATTCAGGACGCAGTCATTATAAGCTTTATTAGTGCCGACGTTCCAACCCAAACGTGTGGATCATCATCAGGGCTGAATTATTTTTAAAATACAGTCAGAGATATAATATTATACGACATGTAATGGTTAATAATAAAAAATATAATGATTGATGATACGTGAAATATGTAAAACGTTATACAAACTATAAATAATGTATATAATCAATCAATTTATAAAAAAATGTAATATTTTCTATGATGTCGTATAATATTATATCTCTGATCGTATTTAAAACAAATTCAGCCTTGTGTTGACCCACATGTTTGAGTTGAAACGTCGGCACTAATAAAAACTTTATAATGACAGCATCCTGAATATTCTGACTCCACCCATGGTATGAAGAACAGTCGATTAACTTCCTTCGATAATTCAATAAATAATCTAAATTAGTTACGAGAAATTACATTAATATTAGAATCCCCCACAGCTCACTTCATTGGATAATAGAGAAAATCAGAGCTTTATTTGTCAAGTATCAACCTTTATCTCTCAGTTTATGAAAGTAAAATAAAAGCGGCAAAAATAAATTACTAAAAGTTTATTTTTATAAATTAAAAAATCCTAATCAAGCTTGAAACATGCTTCCTCTAAAACATTATTTTTATTATTTAAAAGACAATTTTTATTTTACTCACCTCATTTTGTAGCACATTTTCTTTCATGTATAATAAATAAATTCATTTATAAACTATACATTTTTTATATTTGTATCTGCAGACATATAAGTCAGAGAAAAGTATCGTTTAATAGATAAATATGAGGGAATTTTACTTTAAATATCTGGTAGCCTGTCTTTTTAATTGGACTTGAGGATCTTGAGGAGGGAACATGTATTTCGGTTCAAAATTCTGATTCGAAACGACCGTAATATTTCGCCTTACTACTTATTTCATAAATGGACAAGGGAAAGTAAAAATCATAGTAATTTAGTTTCTTTTATATTGCTGATGAAAACCTTTCCGGTTAGAATGTTTTTGTTCAAATGGAAATAAGTTATTTTAAAATTTGCTGGCTCGCTTTAGACCTTAATGTGTAGTTACAATACAATTCAGTATTAATTCTATTGGAGCAGTAAATATTTAAGTATTATAAAGAATATTAAGTGAGCCAGCGAACTGTGAACTGTGGGTCCGAAGTCCGTGGGAGTAATCTGTTCGCTGCCACCTCCAACTTTCTCCTCTCCTCGGTTCCATCTGTTTACAATGGCTGGTCTTCGAATGTTTCGACTACTTTAATATTTTCTATTACTTTTGTTCAAAAATAGAAAATATCTTTTAAATATGGATTCCTAACCCAATATTGGTAATTCCCTGTTGGTATTTATAATCTTTGAAGGTATATATAAAGGTTGGATTTACTTAAACTGCTGAACAAAAACAGTTTAGTTAACATCAACAGACTAAAAACGTTCGCGATAATTAAGTCAGTCCCTTCACACTGAGCTAATCTGCTACCCTCTTACAACGATAAAGCATTATTTTCATTCAAATTTGGCTTTTATGAATTCTTATATAGAATATTTAGTGCCGTCTGTCTGTAGTCAAATCTTTCATGGCTCGTTCGATTTGGTTCAAAATTCGGAGAAATTTTGAGAATAATGTACAAATATTAATAAATAAACTTTAAAGTAACTGTTAACAATATGATGGCTGTGGTTGAAAATGAACGACTTGACAAAGGCAGCTTGTATAAGTTTGTGAACTTGATCTGATTTAATCGTGGTTTTATTGCTTATTCAATTCAGTTATAAATCTTTTTATGTTATTTTCAGAGATTTTTTTTTTGGTTTATATCCAATGACTGAGATCTCATTTTGAACGTTATTTTTTCCTTCATGTAGAAAAAATAGACACATCCCCCAAAATTTATGAGAAAAAATGTTATGAAGGAAAAGAAACTTTATTTGAGAATAATTCAAACAGTGTGCTTCATTTTCTTGATTGTACTCATGGTTATTTGAAAGATTATTAAATTCCCTACAAAATAAGTATCGGAACCATTGTAGGAGTGGTAATACAGCCCATCAGATTTGGTATACATAATTCCTTTCTCTTCGAAGTTACTGCATTTACTATTGTACTATATTATTTTCACTATTATCCTTTATTATTCTTGTAGCCATTTTAGAAGTGAAAACTTGAGTAGCCCCAATTAATACATTGTGAAATGAGCCTGAACCGACAAGGTAAAGACGTCTCGATATGACCAATTCTTATATTTGGATTAAAATATCTCTGAAACTAGAAATCGGTCCTCTGTACTCTAATCTCCATTGGAGTGAAGTGTACATTTTAAAATTGTATCTTGAAGCGATGCCATGTTAGAGGGGCAAAAAGGATAAAATGATGTATATCAAATAAAATAAATAGATGGAATTATAAACGAATTTCATTCGAAATATTAAATATGACAAATCATACTGAAATAATGAAAATATACGATCATCAGATATTTCAGTTGTCGTAAACCTATTGTTTACTTGATTAACTAAATAATAGGTTAGGAATATAAAAATAGGTATAGGAATATAAAAATATAAATGAAAACATCAATAAGTCGAAATTAATATTAAGAAATATAAATATTTTTTTGTTCTATATTCACAAATTAATAGCATTTACACTATATATATATATATATATATATATATATATATATATATATATATATATATAAAACAAGCAAATGTGAAATTGGTAACATAACATGCAAATGTGAAATTTGTAAGATAACATGCAAACCATGAAGAGAAATTAACCATTGGTAGAACTCCAATTTAAGTTCTATATTAGAAGGTTCCGAGACCATCTTCTTTTCAGACGCCTCGGAGGGTTATCAGACATAGAAGAGGAAGCAAGGTTAGAAAGGAGAGGGTTCGAATGGTTCAGAGATTTATTATGGAAGGATCCGGATTTAGCTAAATCGGAAAGCTGTGGTACATTAAGGTCGTTATGGATGATTTTATTATGATGAGTTTATTAGAACGCAAAATATTCCTCATAAAATGTGCTCTATTATCAACCACATAATTTTCAGATATTTCCTTTCTAGGCCTTATTAAAGTCATTTTGAGCCAAGTATTCCAAACTGTAAGTATTAATAGAACAAATTTTATGTAGAATTTTAGGAGAAATGTTTTCATTCGTATTCGTTATTTCCGTCGGATTAATGGATTCGAAATTAAATGAGAAAAACTGACAGTGTCAGATGTGGTGATGAAAGGGGATTTTTTTTTTTTCAAATTAGGAGGTTTGGTATAAAATTTGTGTTTATAATTCGATAATTGTAATTCTAATATTTTGTAGAATTTTTCGACTGTTCCAACTCTTCAGCTGATTACTTAAGTATTACTAATATGTTAGGTGTTACTAATATGTTAGGTATTACTAATATGTAATTCGAAAATATGTCAAAGATGATATCTCGATATTCTCTTCGTAACAACGTTAAGGGGGAGAGGCCTTTCTTTAATTCTAACAAGACCAATTCCACTCTTTATAAATCGAAATTTACCTAGTAACATTTTTTACGTGAGGTTATATATATATTAAATTTATGTAATCTTATATATATTTTTAAAAATTAATAAAATCTATTAATAATTTGTTATTATTTATTGAATTAATATAACAATCTGTCACATGGACATTGGTTTTAGGGAGGTAAGATAACATTTAATAATATGATTTTTTTTTCCCTCTTGATAATTGAAACTACTTGATAACTCGTAAATCTCGATAGTTGGAATATTCCTTGTAGTCCCTTTTATTTCGATTTCCCGAGAATCGGCTGTACATGTGCAGATTAGAGGATATAGAACCTACCAAATGGAAAACCCGACAAGTATTTTTTTGAATAGGTCATTCGAGCAAACAATTTCAATCCCTATTAATATTATCGCATTCCCTAAAAAGTATTTTTGTTTCATTGATGGCATAATATTTCATAAATATTAATTTAATAGTTTCATTTCGTGGTGATTTTAAGATAGGTAATTATTATACACGTTTCTAAACCTCATTTTAAATTTGTTGTATCAGTAAGTTAGATTAGAATTTAGTGCAAAAAATACATCATTCTGAGCCATGGTAGGTTATTGTGTATAATTAAGAGAAGACATTACAACGTTAGTCAATAGAAGGAGAGCCGTGGGTAATGAACTAAGTGGGCTCTAATCTGATGGTGTTGTAATTAATTTACAGAATGTGGTGCTCTCCCGAATGTTCGTTCATCAACTGATATTCCTCGCGCAGTGAATTGGGCATGGGTTTTTCACTCAACTATTTCCTTTAAATAATTTTAATGAGATTCACACAATATTTAATTTTAATTTCATTCACTGTCTAAATGAATCTAATGGTAAAGTAAATTGGTGGTAGAAGTACCGTAAAATGTTTTCTATGATTTATTTACTTATTTTTCTAGCCATTGTCCGTACCTAAATCAATTTTAAATCAACCAAATTTAAATTAAAAAAAAAAAGAGTATAGATATAGAAAAAGAAATAGACCTTTATGTCAAAACAATGTAGTATGACTTATTAAGTCAAGTGCTTTGACATTATTATCATTTTTTAAGTCTTATTAAACGTCTTAAGTTCTATTCAATTATACTGGTGTATTCAATTAAATGATATATCAGTTAAATGATCTTGGAAATTAAAGTGCAAATCTTTTGAACATATATAATAAAATGTCACCACTAAACTCCTTTGAAACCGCTTGAAAACTTGCTATAATATAGTTGAAAGCCTAAACAACATGGGCTAGACGTACACATTTTGAAGTAGTAGATTAAAGTTTCGAATTTATGCCCGACTCTTCCTATTGTGGTTGCTAAAGCTTGCTGCTTCCACGCTGGCGGAAGTCGACAATTGTCGCTTATACAATTGTCCTAATTTCCTTAATTAGCTCTTATTTTCTATAACAAAGTAAATAATGGATATATTATAAATAAAATATAACAAAAACTCAAATAAAGAATATTGTTTATGAAATTATTTTTGGTTGTTCGCGTCAGACGTGAAGTAACTTTCTGAGCTCTATTTATGTAACATATAATCTTTCTCTGTTTCAAGACGTTCAAGTTCTAAATCAAATAGGATTTATGAAAATAGTTTACCGCTGACTATCTACAAATCATAAACTGGTTAATCTAACTAATGAAACAACTAACGAATATCAGCGAAACCTCTACATGTGTCTAATTGATTTCTTCATAGCTTTCGACCTGTTAAAACATGATGCAGTTTTCAACAAGATCAAAATAATCAAAGTAGGAGTGCGTTGAGAAATAAAATATTGCAGGTTGATGAAGGAAACAAAGGCGGGATAGCGATGGATGGAAAGGTTCATTATTTAATGTAAAAAAAAAGTGTGATGTAAAACTATCAAAAACATAAACCAAGAAAATAAAGGAATTTATATACGTGCAAAAGGCGCAACAAATTAAAATATGCAGACGATATTGTATTAATTTATGGCTCGGCTGAAGAACTGAAGGCAACCATAGGCGAACTATATCGGCAGAGCAAAAATACAATATTGCCGATAAATTTATCGCAAAGCAAAAAAGACATAATCATACAAGGAAAAAAGTGGCTTGAAAATGCCAATACCTTTGCCAACTAATTTTGTTCAACATAAAGACCTACGAGAAAATAGATAGGCTTATACCAATTGCATGGAAAAAATACTGTTCTTTAAAATGTATTATTAAATTTCTCTGTACACCTGAAGACTAAAGTTCTTGAAATATGTAGGGTGGTGCCAAGTCGCATCTCTTGAGCCCAAATGTGGGTTCTGTTAAAGTAGTTAATAAATAGATTAGACTTCCAAGCTGCTCAGATAAACATAAAGAGGAGAATATTGAATATAAAATTGAATGATAGGATAAGAAATATACAGATAAGGCATAGAACTAAAGCTAAATACCCTTAGAAGAGGATTTCGAAACTAAAGTGACAAAGGACTGGAAAAGTGGCACTGATGGCTGGTGGAAGACGGGTTCGTGGCCACTGTACGCGAAGAGAAGAAGAGGAGAACAGCCGATGGGTTGGTAAGGCGATTTAGCAAAGACAGCGCGGACTGGGTGTGACGAGCTGTGAGGGCGACACCGTAGCACAGGCCGAGGAGCCGCCATTGTTGGCCAAATATCTGCTCTCCTGGCGAGGTACCTATTTGCATAGCTCTATTGTTGCCTAATTGTTTACCTCCGCCAAATTTGCAAATCCGCTAACCTAAATAGTTTTGCAGCCGTGTGCTCTTAACATAACCTAACCTAATTTACAAAACGTTTCTTTCATTATTTTTACCTCCTTTAGAGTATTCCCTGCCCTCATTAGTTTCAAAGCTCTATAGTTATCCATAAATTACAAATAAATAGTTGTCAAGTTTTTTTCTTGCTCTCTCTAGAAAATATTCCCGTTTCAAAAATACTTTTGCCGCTTGGCTGTTCCGTGATAACAAGAGGCAGGAGACTTAGGAATGGGACCTTAATTCGAAATGGGTCTTCAACCATATCAATGGTAGAATAACGATAAGAAACCTGGAGAATGGAGGAATAGAAACGGAGTAGATGAACACTGATAACAACACTAATATAAAACTTTATTTTGTCTTATACATATTTACTTATCATCACCTTCAATATACTGTGCACCTCTCCTCTATCCCTGGAACGCTCTATGCCAATCTTCCACTGTCTGGAACAGTGCTGGAGGAAGTCTTCTGTCAGCTCCTCCAGGACCCTTCCTTCTTAAGATCGGGGAAGTTATAATTTCTGTTATTATAATTATGACTACAGCTCCGCCATTACTGCATGACGTGCCAAAACGAGTGGTAAGAGAATTGTGAGCGATTGTTCTCAGCTTACGGCTCTGAATAATTTACTTATCCACACGAGCAGTCTTAACATCTTTAAATAATTCCTTCATTACTCATTCATCCATTCCAGTTATTGAGGTTTACACAGTGACATTTCATTCAATGTACGAAGTGAATTATTCATAGCAAAAGTATTGTTCCATCTGTACATTTATTTTTGTTGTAAAACTTAATTTAGATCGTGGCCTACTGAAAATTGTTGATTTTCGATGTCCTAAAAGTAGTGAAGGTTTCTGTATCCATCCAGCTTTGCATGGAGCGAGGTCGAAGAGGATCCCGCGTTACCTCGTTGCCTGCTATTATCCCAATTAGTTATTTAAAAAGGCCCACCTCCTTGTTATGGACAGTTCGGCGGCGAGGTCCGGGGGAACGCTACGCCTTGCTTTGAGAGGCCCAGAACGAGTTGCAGGGCAGGTCATCGTGGGTCTATTCCAAGCACTAGAGGCTGGGCCTTGGTGACGAGATGGAAGCTGTGGAAGCAAATCAAAGCTGTTACAGAACCAAAGGTCGGTTCGGTCCACAACAGCGGTCCAGGAAGTCCTCAGGACTACAGGATCATCGACGGCCTATTTCTAGAAGGGGGGAGGGGAAGGACATCTGTCCTCGTCTCTCCTGATGGAGTGGTCCCGCTCCGCTCTCTCGGCATTGTACTGCTCTTGTACCTTTCAATTATCAATTATATCTAAAGGCTTTGGTGCAGTGTATGTCTACTGTTTATACAATATTGATAATATTTCAATTTATACGTATTGAACTCACGATATTGGCCTGATGTTGGGCAAATTAATGAGTTGAGGTCTTCATCTTCAGATAATAACCTAATAATTCACTATCGAGATTTTATGTACATTCAAGCGTATATTTTATTGCCTATTGTTAATATATAAATATGTTAATTAACGAAGGTTCTATTCCATCATTTCCTTATTTTTTAACGGCAGGAAAGTTTAAATATGCGTGCATTGTCGATTGTGTAATTTCTGTTTGTATTTACCTTAAGTATCTTTAAACTGATTAAAGTTTGAATTGTTCATAAAATAGTACAGACCAAAGTTCGGGAACCTGCGTTCTCCGTGATCTTTAAGAATCCAGCGTTAGAATTAATTAATGCTTAATTATTTATGCCACGATAATTTTATAATTAATATAATTAAGTGAAATATATGTGTGTACTTTGTACTTACTTATAAATAAAAATAGCAGCCATAAAATATACTTTTTTTTTTTACTTTACTTTTCAACTCACACCTGTCAAGAGTAATGCATCAGTAAGCGTGAAGGAATGGAGTGCCCAGCGGCATCCCTTCGTATCTTGATTTTAGTATTTATTTATTCAAGGAAAAATACTTTCTTAATTTTTTTTTTAAGTTTCATCAAAATCGATACAGCCGTTTTAACGCTGTATTCTATATACTATATAACAGCCCGTTTATTGACTATAGCATAGGTTTCGGGAATCTAAATAATTCATACAAAAACAGTAAAATAGTCCTCTCGTTGTAGTGATAATGGCTATATACAATAACAGATAGCCCGATGAGATATGAAAATATTTGAGGGCTGCACATTTTTATAGTGTTTAGATATTTGTGTTTGGTTTCAATTTTCGATAACTAAGAAACAAATTACTAGTCAACTTGTTAACAACTACATAATTTATATTTCTACTTGTTTTTTTTTTTTGTTTTTTACACGGTTTTTAAGAATACAAGAACCACAATTCTCTTGGAAGTGGAGTTCACAACCACAATTCTCTTGGAAGTGGAGTTCACAATCGCAATTATGCGTCGAAATTTTAATCGAATAGTAATTGACAGTTTCCTTGCTTATCAGCTCTAGGAAAATGAAAACTAATCTTTGATTGAAAATTATATTCTTGAATGAAATGCCCTGCCCATACCAGTGGACGAACATGAGGAAACGTAGAAGCCTATCCAAGTCGAAGAGGAACTTCTCTTCTCACCTCAGGCTGAGCTACCTTCTTCTGAAGGTTCGCGGTCCCTCATTGGCCACAGCAGCAGACGATATCCTCACCCTGCGAGGACACCCAGCTGTGTCCTGAAGAGGACTTGCGCAACCCTTCCCGCTCTCTGTTCCAGGATGTGTCCTGAGCTATTTAAGTCAGGAGTTGATGAAGGAAGGATGAAAAAAATACCAAGAAGCATTATGGAGCACGTGCCCGGCCTAGCCGACACTAATAGTCCGCTTCTATATTTAGTGTCTCTGCTTACTGGAATCGTCATAGGCTATCGTAAACACGCATTGCGCAACTGTCATAGGCGCAGGCCTCGGAGGGATCGAGGGGGGCGGTCGCCCCCACAATAAATAGAGAGGTCAGATAGAGAGGCATTGTAACCTCCCCGCCCTCCTACTCCTTCCCGATATTTCCAATTGCAAAAAAAAAAAAAAAAAAAAATCAATGACAATTAATCTAAACGAATGAATAAAATAAGTAAACTAAAATCAATTGAGAAAATATAATCCGTGCTGCAGACACCTTTTTATCAAATTATTAAAATCCGCCCGAAACTTCGTAAATAGCTTCATCTCATCGTAACCTACAACTATTTTATTTACGAAACTCTTCTGAATTGGGAATTTCCAATGTGGAGATCTTCAAACTTGTCTATTTAATTAGGTACTAAAAACTCTGAAATACCCATTTGCTTTCCACCAGAATCGTAAGATAATGTTAGCACAAAATCGAAAAAAAAAGTTGGCCTTCAATAATATTGAGCCATCTACACCGCTCAAAATAACGAGGTCATGGTCATATAGCACAAATGACCCGATATTTTTGTAGGTCACTTTTTTTTTACCAAATTATCTTGCGATCCAATTGGAAAGCAACTGGGCATTTACGAGTTTTTAGTACCTAATTAAATAGACAAAATTTGTACACTCCAGATCGAAAATGTCCCAATTCTCAGAGTTTTTTGTAATAAAATAGTTGTAGGTTACGATGAGATGAAACTATTGATGATGTTTCTGACGGGTTTTAATAATTTTATAAAAAGGGGTCTGTTCCAGGGATTAATAAGAAAATTCGATTATGGAAATGTCAGTTCATATTGAAAGATACTCATTTTTAGCTCCACCATATTTTAGGAGATATAAATAATTTTGGAGAATTGAGAGTTGATCTCACTGCCTCCGATCTTTGAATAAAAACTATGTAATATATTCCAATAGCTTTGTTAACCTATTTTAGAATATACCTTTACCTAAAAAAAATTGCTTTGAATGCTCTATGAATAAGAAGATTAGGTGATTAAGAATCGGGCCTTTCAAATTGACATATCTGTATCTGCTTTTAGGCCTTCACCGACCAACTCGCCACGCATCTGCCAATGTGAAGCTCACCGTTCATCATCTGTTGCAATGCAATAAATATCGTAAAGATCGATTTAAACTAAAAATTGATTATATCGTCTCATATAAAGAAACTGGAGGAATGTATCAAAATTAATGAAAAAACACCTAAGTTTATCAAACTAATGAAATTAACCAATTATATCTAATAAAAGAATCACAATGGCCACGGCATTCGAAGTGACTATAAACATATATAATATATTGCTCGTTTAAAAATCATTTTATTGATTATGTTAAGTATCATTTATAATTTGTATCCATAATATAGCTGTTGGATTACTGTTGTCGAGGAAGTTGAAGCAAGCCACTTCGTTGGCATTTTATGTTGTCTTAAGTGTTTATTTTAATTTTGATCGTCGAAAATATTGATATAACACACACCATGAAAAGAATGTGTCTTTTTTTGTAGTTTAATTAACTAAAGTTCTCTTAATATATATTATTATCGCGATATGCACTAGTTCGGAGCGGAGTCCTGACAACACTCCTTTCAATGAGTACAACTTCTCCGGAACCTCTGCTGATCGGTTTTCCATTTTGCTCCTGATGACCAACAGCCTTAGGAGATGCTGAGCAGTTACCAATTGCGAAATTCGCCTCGGCCGACGATGTACTCTGTTGCGTTTTGAAAACCGGTGTCGTCAAAAGCACCGAATTAGCCCAATCCAATCGTTAGTTGGAATAGAACAAGATTTGTAGTTGCAATAGTTGGATGTGAAAGAAATCTAACGTTTTTTTAGATACTGAATCTGAATTTGAAGTTGGCAAACGATATTGTTCATCGCCTCCCGATATCTATGTAAAAACTAAAAAATGTTCATGCTTCACTTGTTTTCAGTTTTTTGGCCATGACTCCGAAACTGTGTTTTTTATCCAAGATATTACTCTAGACATGGTTAAGAAGATAATATTTACAATAAATTGTATGTTTTTTTTTTTAAATTCTGTATCAACAGTTGTGGTTCAGAACAAGTTGACTATTCCACCAGAACTGGCTCCCTTCTTTGGTTTGCTCTCAGTAACTCATAATCTATTTAATATACCTCTCGAAAAATATTTTCAATTTGAAAGAGCATTAAACGTAGAGAGAATAATAATTTAGAAGCTAAGCTGCTGATGAAGCTCACAGAATTGGCAAGGTACTTCGGTCGCGGTAGCTGCCGCCTCCACCTTCGACTCTTATGTTCCTGGTTCGGCTAATTTAACCGTATTACTAACAGCACTAGGGTGTATGGAGAAGGAATTTTATAACTGAACGAACTGTGCGCGGTCAATATAATTTAAATGATTTCCTTGAGGAGAATGAAATGGCCATGTAAAATTGCTGGGCTTGGTAACGAAAGCGTTCCTGAAAAGTTAATATGCGTTGTACCGACTGGTGACTGGTAAGAGTCCGAGGGGTAAAGGTAAAGGTTGAAGGGTGAAGGGGTAAAGCGAAGCGAAGTGGGAAGATTGCGTCGGGAAGGCCGATCTGCTTAGGTTCGGTTGTTGGAAGGCGCGAAGATCGATGAAAGAATGTAAGTATCGATTGGTGGTATCGGCATTGGACCTTCGGGTTCGTTCGTTATTATGACTTTTATATGTTCTGTTGGCATGAGGCAAATAAACGTTTATTGTAAATATACAAAAATTGTAGACCAGTGCACACCTCAAAGACCGAGGTGTACAACAAACAGTATTTCGCATGCTCTGATAAGATTGAAGTGCATCGAAATAGCATTTAATTTCCTATAGAGCTCGGCCTTTGATGTTATGTCTTACCCCTATCAAGTTAACTATCGATGTATGAAATATATAGAAAAGGCAATTATGTTTCGAATCGAAGTTTTTTATTTAAATTCTTGTTTTAAGGGCCAATGAGGCCAGATAACCAAATAAATCTCTCTGTAATGTTTTTCTGTGAAAATTATAGTTTATCATTTAATAAAGTCTTTGTGAATTATTCTTCATGTGAAACTTTGAAAGAACTCGAAAGACAAATGAATGTAGCAGGTCAACTCTCCTCGAAGAACCAGTGAAGAGGCTGTTTTATTGTATTGTATTGTATTGTATTGTATTGTATTGTATTGTATTGTATTGTATTGTATTGTATTCTGGTTTGTGAAGAATAAAAATGCGATATCGTAGCCTCCGAGCGACTATTTTCTTCCTCTAGTCTTCTTGGTTAGAAGCGACCCGGGTGGAGTTGTATGTCAACTGGATACATTTTTTGCAAACTTGAAGTAGTTTAGCGGTTTAGGCTAAAATGTGAACCACTTTTATCCAAATTTTTGCCTTTTTAGTGTATTTTTTTATTTATTTAAGGGAATATTTCAAATGGTGCCAGCATATTCTCTTTTCATTTTATAAGATGTCATAATTTGGGCATTAGTTATAGTCTCCTTCTTTCCACTTTCTCCTTTTCGGTTGACTATAGCTAGGGTTCCTGTTACCGCTGGCATTAGGTAACAGGAAATGACAGAGATCGTTGCGGGTAAGGCGATGGTCACATGGATTAGCAACGCTTTCTATCTGAAACAATCTCCTAGGATCAGTCTTGTTTCTATCTGCTTCAATTCCGATGGTTTATATCAGGTTTTTATTCTTTGTAAAATTAATGGTGTTGAATTGGTCATCCTACGTTGGCAAGTTAGAGAGGCTAAAAAAAGGAGATAATGAAGTATGTGCAGTAGTTTTTTCGTTCATGCGCATGCGGAGTGCAATTTTTCGAAGGATGCGTTTGGCAGTTTGATGAAAATCCTAACATGAATGGATGATGTTATTTTGATAGTTCTCATCGTATTTTTGAATCGGAAAATAACATCAAACTTCAAAAAACGTACTTCAAAATCTAGTACTTCATCGACAATGTAGGCATGTACCAGGAGATCTCTGATTCAACGCCTATTCAGTCTTCTCATGTTCTAGGGAATCTCAGCTGTGGCCATGTCTCTTATTGGTCTATTATTATAACCGTTTAAATTAGTGTAAAATCGTTAATAAAGGGTCGTTATTTGTCGGTCAAATGTTGGAAGATGGAGGTCAGTATGTAAAGTTTTGTTAGTAACTTAGCATGGTGCTTTTGTTATGAGTCGCAATAATTTTGATTGGAAGGTTTGACGTTTTTGTAGATGTGTCTTTGTATATTTGTCAAATGAAGATGTCCGGGATTTAGAGTGCTAACTCACGGTCTTTCTGAGATCCTCCAGGCCGACGTGAGCAATTAGTGAGATAACCGCCTTCTCCTTCCCCTTTTCCAAAAAAATAGAAAAAGTCAAAACGAAAGCGTCAAATCTTTCCAATAGAAGAAATAAATAAACAAACGGCGAACGATTCGCAAATGTCACTTAAATTTCCTAAAAAAGACTGACAGAATAAATGCTTTTATTATTTTACCACAAATCTTTATTCACAGATACGAGTCGATTTATAATATCTGAAAATATATTTTGCTCTTTTATATGTCTTTTTGTGGCAATGGGTGTTTTAGCAGTTCGTTAGGTTCTGTATAAAGTTTTCAAAGTTGGAGTAGAGGATAGAGATATTACTGAAGATTTATATTGTTTATAATTATTGAATAGGTCCATAAAATACATAAAATATGTTAAAAAAAAAAAATCAAGCAAATGATCAAAATATCTAATACTGATGAAGATAAAAAACAATAATAGTAGGTTATAATGTCTAAAACAAAAAATTATTTGCATTAAATGGTCACGTAAACATTAATCATTTCCACTTGCCAAAAAATAAACCAAACATTTTTGTGACGAAAACGAATGGTTTTGTAAATACCAAATTTGTCTTCTTTTCCCCCCTCAGGCTGGAGAACACAAGTTAGAGACTTGCTTTGAAAACATTTGGGCGCAGCCAATCAAAACAGGGCTTCTTTATCAGTGAAAGAAGCCACGACCCCCAAGATAGCTTTATCTCTCAATAATAACAAAACAGCCCTCTGTCGACCAAACATTAAAATATAATAATAATAATTCGAACTATAAGAGTGTTCGTTTTAATACACATAAATTTGTTATGTTGTGGTTGTGTATAATGCACCATTGCGATCGAACAAAAATGCGAAAACTTAACCCTCTCTCAAACTTTGAAATTTAATTCTTTTTTGTCCGTCCGTCGTCCGTTCATTTTTCCGAAACCACTGCTATACTATCCGCCTCTATTTTAAAGATGGTGGCTGAAAAACCTGCTTTGCTATAGACTAGCGCCTAAACGAATGTACTTATTTAAACAAAACTTGGCTACTGTCTTCTTCTCGCTGCTCTTTAAATTTATCTATATAATATACTTCAACGAAAACAAACTGTAAAAAAGTAACGATAGGTTATTTAAAATTTTACGATATTTCCTAAAAAAAAAAAAAAAAAAATTGTTAAAATCGGTCAATTTGGAGCAAATATATGGTCTCTGGGTGTTTTTATATGTTCTGCAAAGGTTATATCCTTTGTTTTGGATTTCGATTTTTTAATGTGTTACAGAAGTAATGCTATTTTTTTTTTTTTCAGAAAATTTCTAATGATGAAAAAATATGTTTAGGCCAGTAATCGGAATATATTTTTTTTCCATGTCGAGGATAATTTGCGAAGTTTTTTCTATGTTGGTCCAAAGCGACAGTGCGCCTTCTTTCCAAAAAAGAACTTTAATTATTAATCGGTTTTCCTCCCCACCTTCGTTGAATTGTAGGAGTTGTGTTGTTTATCGACCACTTCTTCAGGATTCTGTCATTTTTTGACATGTTCTTCGTCCCAATTAGGTAAGGCTCTTTCTTCATTCTTGAAATTTTTGAGCAGTTAGGAACAAGATTTAATAACAGCCTGCTATTGATAAGCGTCAGCTATTCATCTCCTAAAGGTTCATATATTTATACATTATACATATCCGGCTGATTAAGACTAAGAAAATGCTCTCAGCCGTAGAACAATACACAAGATGAGTACAAACAATAAATTGTGATGAGTAAGTACGTTGATATCTGGCGTCGACTGGCTCAGTTTACACAATGAGATGTGATTTATTTTTCT